TCAGGGTTAAACCGCTCTAGTTTTTAAAGAGCTGGCCGGTTTAGATATTATTCAATTTTAGTTTTTTTTTTTTTTTTTTTATTTCAATCATATGGTTAGAAGTAAGATATTTAAATTAATATAAGATAAAATATCATGGCTTAAATTTTTTTATAAGATATTAATTTTTGAATCGATAAAAATGATATTAATATATCTTTATTTTATTATTTAAATTATATTAAAATAATTTAAATATTTATTACGTCATTCAATTCAACTTTCGGCTCAATTTTGGTTGAATGATCGGATCTCAAATTTTTATTTCTTTCGGTTTGATCTCCGGCCCGCTTTTCATAATCTTAATTAAAAGTATTCAGGTTGAAGTTACCAAAATATTTAACTCTGTTATATTGAAAAATTATATATACCACATAACCTAAATATTTTCATTTGTAGCACTCAATTTTTTAACATCGCATGTAAAATAATATTATTAATTTTTAAAAGTCAAATTCACTTGTATGCATAGGTTTATAAAGGCAAGGTGATACATCATAAATAATGGGCATTTACATAGCACAAAATTCTTACATGTTTAAATATTTCACATCTAAACTTTCATATTTACATGCATGGCACACAAATCTTTAAAATTATATTAAAAATAGCTCTATCATCACTTTTTAAAAGTGAAATACAACATTTTCATGCACAGTTGAAACACCAAAATGCTATGCATGTAAATATGAAAGTTTACGTGTGAGATTTATTAATACATGAGAATTTTGTGCTATGTATGTAAATTTTCAGAGTAATGGAAATTTACATACATACCACCTTATCTATATGTATGAAAATGGCGTATTTCCCATTTTCTAAGTTGAAATTACTATTAATCTTCATGTGATATGAAAGACTTAGACATCATAAATATAAAATACAAAATATAAGAGTTAGATATTTAAATACAAAGGAATTGGGTGGTATGCATGTAAAAGCGCTTAGATTAAAATACTTAAAATGGAGAAATAAAAAGTTATAATTCATTACAAAATGCATATCTTCACTACATAAAAATTGAAATGTCTCCGAGATTTCTGAGAGCTATCTCGACGTGTCTCCAAAGGGTATTTAAGTAAATTGTTTTGGGAAGCTTTCTCTGCAACTGCGAAATATTATATTTAATTCATATTTTCTTTTCTCTGACTACGCGACATGTGTAATTCACAGTTATCATTATGATAATCAACTCGATCCATGTTAATTGATATTTTATTGTGATCAATTTCTCCATATCTACTACGGATTTTGTGTGATAATACTCTCATTTGATAAATCTTTTTTTGCCCATCTATTAATGATTGTTAATAAATATAAATTTTGTTTTCGGATGACTATAGATGCGTCAAATTTGTGATTTATTTGACTGGAGGATGATCAACTACAGTCTTAAAAAATGATTTAACGGCTTGATTTGGGGTTAGTTGACTCGGATTGGATCAATTTTGGTATCATTGAGTTCGTCTTGTCGAGTCGATCAGTTTGACTATAATTTTTTAAAAAAAAATTGGAGTTTTAAATAAATTTTAATTTAAAATTGAAGGTCAGTCACACGAACAAACAGAGTTCGGACAACCAAATGACCACCAGGTTGATCGATTGCCCCAACTCAACTGAGTCGACCAAATACATCGGGCAGACCTAGAGGTCTTAGACCCTCACAACCAAATGATAGGTGATAGGCCGATAATAGAACCATAGGTTACTTTATTTTTTATATGCCCAAAAAAACCGTGTAACTCTCAATAAAAGCAGGTGCAGTTATGTAATTTGTCACTTCATACCTCCCGTGCCTATAAATAGGAGATCATTTATATGGTAAACTCCACTTAAAAATCTTGACTCTTACTAAGTGTTTTCTTCCGATTTTTCTTTCTTACTCTCTCTCCTACTTTACACTCTATTCGTTATTGTTGAGAAAATTAGGGCAAAGAAAACATGAACGACACAAATCCAGAAGAACACAGAGATTTAACAAGGTTCGGTAAAGATGCCTACGTCCTCGGGAGCAGAGCGGCGACCTCCTTTTCAATATTCAGAAAAGAGTACATAATACAATATTCAGCTCTCTCAAAGACCTAGGATTACAAACAGGTTTATTTATAATCATAGAGTAAACCTTACAGTATAATATGTAATTCCCAAATTACCCCTGTACCTTATAGCCTCAACCCACATAACGTAACTTCCCAATTTGGACAGATTCTTCCGCTCCGCTCCGCTCCGCTTCGATCCAGCGTCTATCTTCATATGATATATGAGCCATACCATAACAAATCTCCACCTTAGCGAATATTCAGCCCCTTAGGAGAAAAGATACCTGGGAGTTACACCTGCACCAATGTGGGTTGGGCCATCATGCTTCTGTTGCGCCCTCGCTGATCTCAACCCACTAAATTCCAAGAGACACACCCATTTAATTCCAAGAGACATCTTTTCATTCCAAGAGACTCCAAATTCTGGTATTATGAGTCATACCTAACAATTCACCACCTTGGCGAATATCCAGCCGTTTAGGAGAAAATCTCCACCTTGCGAATATCCAATCCTTTAGGAGAAAAATCTCCACCTTGTGAATATCCTGCCCTTTAGGAAAAAATCTCCACCTTGCGAATATTCTGCCCTTTAGGAGAAAATCTCCACCTTGCGAATATTCAGCCTCTGAGGAGAAATATCTCCACCTTGCGAACATCCTGCCCCTTAGGAGAAAATCTCCACCTTGCGAATATCCAGCCCCTTAGGAGAAAAATATCATGAAGTTTCTTATGCACAAATGTGGGTTGAATCAATCTTTCTGTTCGCGCTAGCATCTCGACTAAACTGCTGTCCCGTGAGTGAAATCCTTCGCGAAACACCTTCGCCAAACCATTGTTCGCGAATAATCGAGTCCGCTCACTCGCCAGCACCTTACCGAACTCCACCTGTCGCAACTCCTCATGTGACGAACTTGGAAACTCCGCTGGTCGAACATCACCAAACTCCTCTGTTTGCAAACGCTTCTGTTCGTGGTAACTGCACACGAACTCCTGTTCGCTAACTCCACCTCGCCTAATGTCGCGAAGGTTCCTGAACTGTCGCGCCTCGAAGTCGCGGCGTCGCCTCTACCGCGAACTCCCCGAAGCATAACTCACCGAACTGCTGCAGCCCTTTATCCGAATTGTTTCGCATCTGTTCGTTCCCGCGAGCCCGTCTGTCTTGCGAACAATCGCGAACAATCCGCAAAATTTTATATTTTTCTGCGCTGTAGCCAAGATTTTCTTTCTCCAGCCAAGGAAATTCATAAAATACTTCCAAATTTTCTTCTCCAGCCAGAAATTGTGCTTTGATTCTGCCACAAATCCTTTTAAATAATCTCTTAATTAATATTCCTTAATTAAGTTTACCTTAATTAAGTTTTCAAGAAAAATGATTTTCCCTTAATTAAGTTTCTCATAGAAGCAACAAAATCTTTCTAAAAAAAAAAATTGAAATATTCCCTTAATTAAATATTTCATTTAATTAATTAAATTTCAAATCTTTTACTTTCTTAAGCCTCAAGCAAAAGAAATCTCACATCCGCAGATTCAACAAAGAAAATTTTAATTAAGTTTCCTTCATTAAATATTTTCTTTAAATCAACTTAATTAAAAAACAACTTTCCTTTAATTAAGTAAAATTCAAAAA